TTTTTTTCTTTGCATTTGTGATATCTGGCTGTCCTCTTGGAAGAGAAGAAGATAGCTTTTGTTCCTTGATGACTGATTGACAGTAGCAAGATCAAGAAAACAAATATTAAATCACCTTGCCACCAATGACGTGTATTAGTCACTTTACATTGCTATGACAAAATACCTGACACCTGCAACGTAAAACAGGAGAGAGTTATTTTGGCTCACAGTTCCAGTGGGTTCAGTCCATGGTTGGCTGGCTCCAAGGCCTGGAGGAAGACAGCTCTGGATCCATGGCAGCAAGAAGAAGAGCGAGAAGAAAGAGCCAGGGACAGGACACAGCCTTCCAAGTCATGCCCCAATGACCACCTCTTCCCATCAGGCCCCACCTCCCAGTAGCACGGTCAGCTGTGAACTCATCGGTGCATGGATCCCCTGATGAGCACACTGTCCCATGATCCAGTCACCATCCAGACACTCAAGTCTTTGGGGGACCTCCTAGGCCCAAACCCAAACAATATGTATGACCCTCGGATGAGCTTCTTTATGGCGTTTTCTGTCTTGTCCTTGTTACTGTGTCCACTACAATATATTTCCTCTTCTAGATTGACTCCATGCTAATTCTGTTTGATTTTCTCCCAACTAACAATCTTCTAATTTTTGTGGGAGACAGACACTGGAGCACGTGATTGAACAAACTGACTTGTTTTATGGTCTGGCATGTGATCTTGGTGGAGAACACGTGTACTTTAGAAGAACATGCACCAAGCTCTCGGTGCATCTGTAGATCCCTGTTAGTCAAGTTGGTTCTCAGTGCTGTTCAAGCCTTGCACCCCTTGCTGACTTTCTCTTCTTTTTCCAGGAGAAGTTCCAGGAGAATTCTCCAGGAGTAGAGAATTGGTCTCCAATTATCATTGCTGAATTTTTCTCCCCCCCCAGATTCTGTCTATTTTTGTTTCATGTACTTGAGAACTCTTATTAGATATATGTATGTTAATAATCATTCTTCTTCATGCTGAAGTGAGCTTTTAAACTGTTATAAAGTGTCTCTTCTTGTGTCGAGTAATGTATTTTGTCAAGTTTCTTTCTTCTGAGATGGGTAGAGCTATTCCAGCTCTCTTATGACTACTGCGTAAGCCAGGGATAGCTCAGTAGTATAGCTTTTCTCTGTGATTTTACTTTCAGTCTAATTATATCTTGAGTCTAAACTCTGTTTCTTACTGATCATTACATTTAATGCACCTGCTGTTGCATTCAGATCACTGAGCTGCGTTCTTGGCCTAGGACTTAGGTTTCTTGTAGGCTTTGTCTGCTAGAAGCCAACCCTCTGTGCTTGTTTAACTGGGATGTCAGAGTTTCTTCTTATTTGAAGGAGAGCTGTGGACACAGAATCCTTGCTCAAGTCTTCTTCCCAAGCTTTGGCCATGGACCTCCAAGCCCAGCGGTTTGGTGAAGTCAGCTGTTAATCTCATGAGGATTCCTTTGTGCACCATGAATTGTTTTGCTCTTGCTTCTTTCAACATCTTCTCTCTGTTGAAGTTTGACTGGGATGGATGCAGGCATGTGTTTGGGGGCTTTGAGAGTTTTTCTGTAATTCAGGCTACCCTTGAATTCACTCTGTAGTTGTCCTGCCTCAGCCTCCTGAGTGTTGGGATTACAGGGGTGTGCCACCACCACAGCTGGCATGGATATCTCTGAGTTTGTCTTGCTGAGTGCTCATTTGGATCTTAGATGTCCCCAAAGACTTCGTCACAGCTGAGGCAACGCGGTGACAGTGGACATTTGGAGAAGGGGTGAGGGGTGCCCTGTGGGTCCTGGGGATCTGTGGGCCCCGAGTTTGTGGATCACGGGCTGTGAGGGTTGCTGGGGTGCGTCCTGGAAGGAGACTGGATCCGGCCCTCTCTGCTCACTTCTGTGCTGTGAGAGAGAGGTTTTGCTCCAAGCTCACTTCCTGCAGGGTGGCTGCCTACTCAGGGCCTGGACCAGCAGGCAGCTAGCTGCTCATGGTCCCGGCCCCGAAACCGAGCCAGGTGAGCTTTGCTCTTTCTGAGGGACTGCCTCAGGTATCAGTCACAGTTAGGAAAGCCCTGACCACACACGGTCCCTGAGCATCTTAGAAGTGTAGATTAATAATTTCTGTCAGACCTGGGAAGATTTTGGCCACTACTTCTTCACAGTTCTCGCTTCCCTTTCTCGTTTCTCCCCTACGACTGCAGCTGTGCGAATGTTGGTGTGTTTGGTGAGTCACACATCTCTGAGGCTGTGCTCGTTCTGTTTTGTCTTCTGTCTCTGTGACTAATCACCCCTGTTCTCACTCACTGGCCTGCTCTTCTGCCAGACAAATATGCTATGGAACTCAGACTGAAAGTTTTATTTTGGGTATTGCAATTCTCCATAACTTTTATTTGGTAATCCCTTATTATTTCTCTCTGTGTGGATATTCTTTCTTGGTTTGACATTATTGTCATACTTTTCTGTAATTTTTCCGGACATAGTTGACTTAGCTGTTGCTCACATGTTGCTGGTAGCTTGTTTAAAATCATCCTCTGCCTAGCAAGCTCGAGGACCTGAGTTTGATCCCTGGTACCAAAAATAAATAAATAAATAAATAATCATCTTCTGATTGTGCTTGATCCCTGGGTCCAGTCAGGGATAAGTTGTATCTCATCCCCTATCTGTGGAGTCTTCTTTGTTTCTTTGAAGTCTTATAATTTGTTGTTGTTGAAAACTGAACACTTTAGGCAGTGTAATTGTCAGCTCTGGAAAGCAGTGTCTGCTGAATGTTGGTTCCGGGCCTTCCCTGGGGTGATTCTGTGAAGTCAGGCACCAAGGCCCTGCTTGGTTAGCAGGGAAGAGCAGCTAATGGTCGCTCAAGTGCCCCTTGGACTCTTTCCTCCTTTGTCGAAGGAAGTTGCAGGTCTGCCTTAGCCTTTCCCTCCTCCTTGCCCATGCTGAAAGTCACCTGAGGGCACCTTGGGGCCTTCCTGGGCGAGCACAGAGTGCAGGAGGTGTGCACAGCCTCCCAGGCCTCCCAGGTGTGTCTGAGCTTTCCACAGCCCCATGGTGTCTGCTGCACCAAACTCTCTGTCACATCTCTGTTGCTCCTGTCTTTCTGCGTTGGCCTTGCAGCCCGAGGTGCCTGCCATGCCTGGATGTTTTTCCCCAAATGCTCTGGGGAAAGGGCTGTCCCTGTGGAGGGAGCTAGACTCTGAGTCAGGGTGGATGGTAACCGTGCCCCGTGAGCTGAGCTTCCTCAGAGTGACACCGGGGACACGGTGACAGGTCCCGGGACAGGGCCTTGGGAAAAGTGCCACCTACCTTCCCTGCAGGGACTGCGAGGCTGCTGGTTTTCAAGGCTGCCAAGGAGCTAGGAGAAGGGCGGGAACAGGCTGGGCTCATTCACCACTCCCTGGGCGTAGGGTGTGCAGGAAAAACTGCTGTGCTCTGGGGCAGTGATGGTGAGCCTGTCAACACATTCGGTGATACACTCAGCCTGCGGTGGTACGTGTGCTGTGGCTGGGCCACCACTGCCCTGTGCAGCGCTGACTGAGTTCACAATGGCCAGTGGAAAGGGCTGTGAATATTTCCAACATAGCGAGTATATCTTAGGTGGTAGATGTGTTAATCTGATCTGACATTCAAGTGTGGAAATGTCACACTGTCCCTCAGAAATATGCACAATTACAGATCAAAAATGTATTTAAAAACCCACACATATTCACCATCATTACTGAATTTCAGTAGTTTTTCTTGAGTAAATGCTGTTTAGGCTGCTGTGAGCCTTCGGTTAATTTCTGGAGCTCTGAGATCTAGCTGACCTGTCTCTGTGGAGCAGTAGAGGGGTATGTGTGTGTATGTGTGTGTGTGTGTGTGTGTGTGTGTGTGTGTGTGTGTGTGTGTGTGTGCGTATGCATGCGTGCATGCACTAGCTGCTTATGTTGACTGTGGAGTGGTGCTGTGTAAGCACCTACCTGATCTCTGTGGGCCCTGCTGCTGGTAACTCCGCTGGTCCCTTACTCTCTGCATCTCCTCCAGACTGGAGGTCTGATGAGGTTCTGTTTAGGCATTTCTGGCAGAAACCTTCACATCCATGCTGTGTCCTTATGTAGCATCGTGGTGGTGGCACCCAAGGCCAGGGCGTCCTACTGTCAGCGAGGCTGTTTACCACTTGGTTATGGTGGTGGCCACTAGATCTTTCCATTTTACAGGTGCACCTTTCTCTTTGAATTTATTGTGTGACTTAAGGGGTGCCACATTAGCATTATCTTAATTTCTTATTCCTCAACAGTCCTTCAGCTGATGGTTTTAGAGCCATTGAGGATCCTTACCTGGCTGGGAATAGTGGCCCATGCCTGTAATCCCAGCACGCAGAAAGCTGAGACAGGAGGACTGCTGTGAGTTGGAGGCCAGCCTGGGCTCCATAGTGAGTTCAAGGCCAGCCTGAACTACAAATTGAGGCCTTGTCTAGAAAAATAAAAACCCTTGCCTGAATCAATCGTGGCAGGTTACTAAGGAGTGGTTTTCCAATTCTGTTATTTCTTCTACTTTTATTAGCCCATATTATGTTGTAAAGATCATTTGATCCCCTTCCACTTTGAGAATCTCAGAGGACTCATGTCTGTAAAATCATCACTCATTGTGTTGCAACTTAAGTCATTTCTCTGGAGTTGCCCCAGACCCCTCTCATTCTGGTTGCTGGGCCCTGAACCCTGTCTCCATTAAGTTTTAAACATTTGTGTTTTTTTGTACAACACGATGCCCCACTTCTCTGGCCCCCAAAACCCCAGCCCTGGAACCAACTTTCTCTTCAAGGAGGGGGTGAGGAATGCTGTGTAGAGAGAGGTCTGTGGGATCTCGGATATGGATGGACCAAGGCTGGGAGTCACCACGTTTAGTGCAGTGAGTGCTGTGGCTGTTTCCGTCTCCCCGCCCAGCTCCACGTCTGTGACACGGGGGCACCAACAGCTCCTTCTCATCTGAGTCTGGGTGTGCAGGGTGAGAACAGAGTAAGGAACCTATGACTAGTGACAAATCTAATTGTACAACTGATTTCCCAGTGATTAACAGAGAGTGCTTGGCAGGCTGAAGGTTTTCAATTAGCAATAATTGTGCCTCAGATGAACTTCATTGGCTACAATGCTGCTGTTCACAAAGCTTGAAGGTTTTCACTAAGGGCTTTTTAAATAAAGTGCTAAAGCATCTTTGGATAAATAGTTATTGCCTTCCTCATAATTCAAGCCTGAGCTTCTTGTTATCAGAAGATTGAATAGTGAGTATATAGATTCCTGAGCTGTACATTGTAAAACAGGCCCCACTAGTGATTAAACACAGACAGATATTTGGTGTACTGGTTTGCTTATACATGAGGAAATGACTCCTGGAATACAGGGTTACCTAAAGGACATGAAAGATACTTAAAGCATTAGGTAGATATTGGTGGGTAAATGTCTGTTGTGCACAAAGGGAGGGGAACAGTCTGGAAACAGCAAGCTTGGTCCTCATTCCAGAGAAGGGGGCAAAATGTGGTGCTGTTTGCAGCTCTGTTTCACCTGTGCCTGGGGTTTGAGAAGATTCCATTTCCAAGGTAAGTGGTGCTGACGAGAACAGCCTTCCTCCTGCGCAGACAGAGATCCCAGGAGCAGTGTCAGTCAGGTCACAGGAAGGCGGAGGTGACAGGCACGGCGCCCTGCCCAGCCATCTGCACTGGCCCCTGTAACGGAGGGGGCGGCAGGGCCCTGGCTGGTAGCCCAGGCGCTAATGCTGGTGTGGAGGGAATGAGTTCTTGTGAGAGCAGCTTGTGACAGGAGGGGCAAGAGTGGCCTTGCCCGCCGCCCTCTGCATTCCCTCTCCACTGAGCTCCGGCTGCTTGCCACGTGGTGATGTAGCCAGGAGGGTCCTCCCCAGAGGACCCTGGCGGGGCTGCTGAGCTCAGATTTACCCTCCCAGCTGTGGGCTGACAAACATCCATTTTTTTTTGAGTCACGGTCTCGCTATGTAGTTCAGGCTGGTCTCACACAGTGATCCTCCTGCCTCAGCTTCCAAGTGCTGGGATCTGTGCTTTATAAGGAGCCTAGGGCTGGGGATTTAGCTCAGTGGTCCACCGCCTGCCTCACAAGGTCCAGAGTTTGACCCCCGGAACAAAACAACAACAACAACAAATATGTATATATGGAGCCTCACCTCGGACACTGTCACAGCAGACAGTGGATGAGCGCAGTGCTGCCTTAGTGCACGGCTGAGGCCCACGATGTGTGTTTGTTTCATTATCAATGATACGAATATCGATCGTTTGGTAAATGTGGCTTTGGTCAGGTTTCTCCGCCACTGAATTACTATTTTCCCTTTGATAATTAATAAGCACTTTGAGGGGAGACATTCTGGGTCTGTGTAAATATTCCAGTCCTAGCCAAACTTTCACCATTCTTGCCTGAATCATCCCCTGATTTTAAAATGCAGATGAGATGCACCTGCCTGAGCAGTAGGTGGAGCAGGAGAGGGAACCGAAGTCAAGTCGCACACTTCCATCACATTTCCCTGGAGGCGGAAGTGGCTGCTGAGTGCCATAGCCTCAGGTGTAGATTCAGTATAGGGCAGCCTGTCAGGTGATGGCTCAAGCATAAACCACACCGGGAAAACATAATTCAGGCTGGCTGCCGCCTGTGAGTCCGGTGAGCCTCACCCACCCCTTGCAGCCCAGTGAATCCTGCCTACTGTGACCCCAGTCGGCCTCCATTGTTCTAAGACCAGAAAACCCTCTGACTCTGTTGAGTGACTGAGTCTTTATTTTCAGAATGAAGTTGGTCTCCAAGGCTGAGGTTCCTTCCTGGGGCAGAGCCTTCCTTGTTGACAAGAATCCTGAAACTTGTAAAGGAGGTGTGGACCTCTCTGGTATCCCCTGGCTTCCCAGGCGAGGCCCTGGCTTGGCTTCCTCTGGCCGGCTAAATATGGTGCATTCGCTTCCTTTCCGAAGGGAGCATTGTTTTATTTATGTTGCTTGTGAGTGGTGTAGTTTCCAGACATACAACATGAAAATGTGATTTAGAGGTAAGGTATCAAGTTGGGTGTTTTGTGAGTGACAAAGCTCTGCTGGGTTCTTGAGTGCTTCTGGCTTTAAAATGGAATTATTCCCACAGATAAATGGCAGAATCATTTCCATTTATTTACATCCTGGCAAACAGAATTAATACATTTGGGTTACACAAAAATTTATGTATTGGAAGAGACTCCATAGCTGTCTTACTTTCTTGTTGGTGATGCAAAATATCTGACCCCCACAGTTAAAAGAGGAGAGTTTTTTTTTTTTTTTTCACATTATGGTTTGTACAAGTTTAGGCCAATGGTTGGCTGGCTCCAAAGCAGGGTTGCATGGCAGAGGAGAATCAAGAGGAGAAACAGTCCATGGCAGAGAGGGCAAACAGGTAGCAGCAGCAGCAAGCCTCCTTTTCCCTTTTATGCAGGCTTAAGCCTATTGGTTGGTGTCTCCTACACCCTGGGTGGGTCTTCCCATTATCCACACCCAGAACTACACTAAACCCATCAGTGGACTAATCCAGTATCACACATCCACGATCCAGTCTCCTCCCCAAACCCCCACCTATGAGAGCACAAGGCTTTGGGAGAACATCTAGTACAAGCCATAACAGCAGTGTTAATCCTAAAGAAAATGGACAAACCAAAGAAGTATTCTTCAAGCTACCAAAAAAAAAAAAAAGAACTATACAGCAAGAGATTAAACCTAGTTTTAATTGAACTATAATTAATGTACAACAGAAGGCAAATAGCTCGAACATTTCATGTGTTTTTGCTTGATGGGTCACCATCAAAAGAAGACATTTTGATTTCCCCAGAAAGTTCCCTCTTGTCCCCTCCACTGCTCTGACTCCTGTCCCCATCTTCCCCTGGGTTGGTTTGGCCTCTTCTGATCTCCACACAAAGGGGTCATGCAGTGTGCATTCTTTTTGGAGTTTAGCTTCTGCACCCAACATTGCCTTTGAGAGTCAGCCACAGACAGTGAGTCACAGACTTTTTATCTCTGTGTAATGGGCCCCAATGCTATTATAAAGCAAATTCCAGATAGTGTAACATTTCATTTATAAATATTTCAACACATCACTCTGAAAGATAGAGTCAAGGAAGACCCTACATTATCACACCTGTAAGGAATCAGTACAGCTGGATATGGTGACCCACACCTATAATCCCAGGTACTGGGGAGGCTAAGGCAGGAAGATCACAATTTCCAGACCAGCCTGGACAATTTAACAAGAGTCTGTCCCCCAGATAAGGAATAAAGAGGACTGAGATACCCCAGGGTTTGAACCCAGGTCTGCAGTGACTCACTCACACAAAGGAGCCAGTGCTCTGACATACTCGGACCCGTCAGTCCAGTGGCCACGTTGGGGCTGTGGCCCAGGTAGACTCAGAGCACTGGGGGTTTGTGGCCCATCTATGGCAGGGTGGAAAGCAGGAGGGACCACTTGGGGGGTCTGGGGGAGGTTAGAGATTGGAGAGGGAGCTGCAGTGCTTAGTTAGTGGACTAACGGAGTGGGACCCCGCGTGTCTCCGCCTGCTTGCAGTGTGACGGTACTTCAGGGAGCAGCTCCCTGCCAGGTGCTGGCTGTGACACAGCCCGGCCAGCAGGACACACAGCAGCTCCCAACCCCACATACTGCAGAGAAGGTGTCTTCATCCATAGCCCACCACACTTTGTTGGGTTAATTGTGGCCCTCAGAGCTTGGTCTCAGGCCCGGGCTCCAGGGGCCATGCCTGCCTGCTGTCTCACATTCACTTTAAAACAACCTTTCACATTTTAGTTTTCTATTCCAAAAACCCTATGGACTGACATTCTGGCATGCAGACCAGCCGGAATGCACTGTGCGGGCCAGAGGCATGCGAGCTGCCTCTGCCCAGCCTTCCGCTGCCGTCCCTTGTGTGCACTTCTGCTCTGCTGATGGCGGCTTCCTTCTGTCTCCTCACCACAAGCAGGGCTGGCTTGGGACTGGCCTCTCCGCCCCCCAGGCGCTGCCTGTCCCTAGCAGGAAGAGGAACACAGGGTCTTTCTTTCCATGTCTTGAGTAGTACCTTTTGCTTCGGTTATAAAAGCCTGTACCAACTTGAAATGTTGTCTGCACTGTGTACTTAATGACAACAGAATGAAAACAGAGAAAACTCCATGGTCGAGGATCATCTCTGGGCAAAGCCTTCCCCCTTGGCTGTTATCTTTCCACAATAATCCAAAAATATTGCCAAATGTCTTGGTGAATCTTCTGCCCTGCTAACATTTTCCTCACTGCTGTTTTGAATTCTAAAACATCTCCCTTTAACAGAAGTGAATTCTAGAATTGTTTCAGCTGATGATTAAAATAATTGTTCCTCAAGCAAAACTGCTGCTAGACTGGCGAGGCCAAGCCTCCTTCTCATGAGCCGCAGCAGCTCACAGCGGGGTGGTGCCTCCTCGTCCCACCTTGGGACGCCCGTGTCCGGCCTCCCGCCAGCATCCCTCACCCCTCGGCGAGCAGCAGGTGGAGGCGGCCCCTGTCGGATCGCCGCCCCCAGCACAGTTCTGCTTTCATTCACTGATGACCCCAGGTCTCACTCCCGCCCTAGACCAGCGCTCTGCCTGCTGCTGCCTGCCGGGGACCTCGCCCAGACAGCGCGCGTGCCCGCGTGGTTCCCCAAGCTGGTGCTGCGTGCGAGGCTCACTCGTGGGGAGTCCGCGGTCCCTTCCTTCGCACCCAGAGCCTCCTATGGTGAACTTGCACGCCCTGCTGTCCCTTCTCTCGGGACGGGTGCAGGGCCGTCTCCAGTGCGGGTTTGCTCTGGGTGAAGCTGCTTGTGCGTGTCCTCCAGGCCACTCCCAGCCTCAGTCCTCTGTGTGTGCCAGGCCTGTGTCGCCCTTCCCACCCACAGGACGCGGAGCTGGCTGCCGTCACCCACACTGCCCTTCCGATGAACGGCCGCCCAGGTGAGGCCACGCAGCTAGGACCGGACGGCGTGTACCCTGGCAGGAGCAGCGGCCAGGCTGAGATCCGCAGGGAAACCTCGGGGTCCCAAGGGGCACACGAGTGAGGAACGGCTCCTCCTCTAAATGATCCCAAATGAGACCCCAGCCTGGGCCAGCGCTCGCTGGACTTCATGGGAGTTCTGCGGGGCTCCAGGGAAGCCAGGACCCGACCAGGCGGGAGGCGACAGATGCAGGTTCCGTCAGGCTGTGGGTGTGTGCCCACGTCGCCCGGCGAAGCTCACACGGGGGACACGGCATGGTTTCCTGGACGGCTGCAGAGCTGGGGAATCACACCACAGGCTCAAGTGTGTGTTTTTCACTCCTGCCAGCAGCCCTGGGGCTCGCACCTGCTCTGCGTTCCTGATGCATTTTGTGTTCCCGTGCTTTTTGATTTTCCCTCCCGGTTCCTTGTGGTTTCCAGATCATAGTTACTTGTGACTAATGAGGGATAAACTTGCTTTAACCAGTTCTGCAACCTGTTCAAATTTTGTCATCCTTCCAAGAGAGTTACAGCTTGTTCATTTGCTTAATTGCTCTTGTCTAAGTTATATAAGTGAAAAGACAGGATTCTCATCTTAAGGAAAATTATTTTTTTCTTTTTTTTCTTTTCTTTTCTTTTGCAGTACTTAGGATTGAATCCAGGGCCTTTGCACTGAGCTACAGCTTCAGCACTTTTGATTTTATTTTTATTTTAAAATTTTGAGACAAATCTTGCTAAGTTGTCAAATTGCACAGGCTGGGCTCCAACTCGCAACCCTCCCGCTCAGCCTCCCAGAATGCTGAGGTCGCAGTGCACCAGCACAGCCTCCTGGCTGCTTCTGCTTGGCAGTTCGGCTGCGAGTCCTCTGCGCTCCAGGGCAGGGCCCAGACCCGAGCCAGCTCCCCGACCCTGAGCAGAGACTTCTCGTCTTGCCCCACGGCAATCCTAAACGACTCCCAGAGTCATGTTGTTTCCTTATCTCCTGTTTCCCTCGCATTCTCTTTAAGGCTGCAGTATCCCCTTGTTCATCTTCATCAGGATAAGACAGGTTACCTCGCCCGATAACAGTTTGTGTAGCAGCCCATTTCTTTATATACAGATGTGCCTTGTTTTGTTTTGTTTTGTTGGTACCAGGGATTGAACTCGGGTCCTTGTGCTTGAAAGGCAGGCGGCAGAGCCACTGAGGTAAATCCCCGGCCTTATACAGATGTGTCTTTTCAGTTTCTTCCTTTCCAGTTTAGGAAGCTCTGTTGGTAACAAACTTTTATTAAATTGGAACAAGATTGGAAAATAAATAAGCTTTGGCACATTTTCCAAAATAACACAAACCCAATGTGAGAAGAGCACAGTGATCACCTCCAGAACCGGCCCCAGATTATTAGGGTGCAGTCACACTCTGAGCAGCAACCTGGCAGGGGCTGTGCTCATTTTTCTCTCGGTCATTTTCACACGTTTTCTCAGGGTCCAGGAGCACTGCCTCCCCACTCTCCTAAAACTGAACGGTGCGTAGACACCCAGGGTTCAAGGGCACAAGAACTTGTTTCTTCCTCTACTGATCTCAAAGCTACCAACCGGAGAATCAGGTATACCAGACTGGCTGCAGTTCCTTGGAGCCTGCGGAAGGGAGGCGCGGGTGATGGGAGCCAGCATGGCATTCTGTGGGTGGGAAGGGCATCACAGGCCCGGCACACCTGTTTATGTGACCGACACAGTGTCACGCAGCGTGACCAAACCCGGCTCCTGGTCCTGGAGGTCCCCGTACACTTGGGGCCGGCAGCTCCTTGGGAAGAACCCAGAGCTGTGGCGGCTGGGCCCGTTCTCGATGGGCTGTGTGAGCACCCGGCCCCTCGGACTCTGCGTCCTCCAGGGGCCACATCACAGGTGCTTTCCCAGCAGGGCTGGCGGAGAGGGTCCCAGCACCACCTGCTGCCTGGTCCTCGGAGCCCCCGGTGACCGGGCTGCAGGGCTGAGGGCTGCCCCGGGAGGCAGCTGCTGTGGCAGCAGGGACTGCGAATGCAGCTGCCGCTCCTGGCAGCAAAGACAGAGGAGCACCAGGAGCCCTCTGCTAGGTACTGCCTGCTTCTAACACACACAGCCGTCTCCTCCCGACTTCCCGCAGCAGCTCTGCAGCCCTCTTTCCTGAGTGTCTTTAGCTTCACTGTCCTGGCTGCCTCCATGTCCTAAGTGGATTCAAAACATTTCCCTTTCGTGGTCGTTTTGACTCTGGGGCGGGGGGAGCCGGGTGGCACGGTGCCCGATCCAGTGGACTGGTGATGAACTGTGGCCTCGTGTGTTCAGCCTGCCTCTGCGCTGGACGGCACTGGGTGGCAACAGCCACCGTGTCTGTGACCACCCCATAAGGACACTCATGGGATTGCTGTAATACATTTTACAAATGTAAACTTGCACCATAGTTTCGGTTGGCCAGTATGTGGAAGCCCATCCCAGGCAACAGTGGCCTGCGGGGCGTCCCTGAGGACACGGCCTGTGCCCGGGCCTGGGTCTCATGGCTCACTCTGGAGTCACTCCTCGGAGTGGCGCTGGCCGGCGGTGCCCAGGAGGCAGGGACACGGGGTTGGGGAGGACCTGGCCTTTCCCTGAAGCACAAGCTCGGGTGGGAGAAGCGCAAGGAAATGGTGATGCACAGAGCAGGCTGGGACCTGGCAGCAGACTCGGGGCCCCCAGAGGAGGGTAGGTTTCAGGGGCTTTCTGGGGGAGGTGGGGCTGGGAAGGAGTCAGGTGAAGGCCTGCGGAGCCAGGGTGGGCACGGGTTGCTGCCCGTCCTCCACAGGTGGACACTGGGAGTCACGTGTGTACCAGAGGGGCTGGCAGGAGTGGCAGGATCGGGGCTCGGACTCCTCCTGGCCCTGCAGCCCCGGGAGTGCAGTGAGAACCAAGGCCTCTGCACCTGCTCAGCCTTCCTCCCACGGCAGAGGCACCGTCTCCGAGGTTGCAGTCGTGGACCAGGCCCGGCGGGTGAAGAGTGCCACGGCAGTGCACGCCACTAGGTGGAGCCCCGGGCAGCACAGAAGCCCGGAGGGGTGTGAGTCCCGAGGAGAGGCCCAGGCCCAGGCCAGGCCCAGGGCTTGTCCCTGGAGGACGCACAGGCCAAGTGAGGAGGAGGCAGCTCTGGGCTGGGTCGCAGACCCTCCGCGCCTCTCCTGCCCTCCCTGCTGGCCTTCAGGTGCTCTGCTGGTGACCCGCGAGTCTCCCGCTCTCTGGCCCACTGTCCCCGGCTGGGGTTTGGGCAGCACCTCCAGAGAGCAAGCCCTGTCACTTTGCAGACCGTGCAGAGCCCCATGCCCCTTTCTAGAGCTGCGAAGAGGCCAGCCTTTATTACACGGCTGGTGCGCTGCTCCTCTGAGTGCCACACGTTCAGTCTCTGGGTCGCGGGGGACAGGGGCTCAGGGATGCCCCACCTGGGGCTTCCATTCGGCGGGGCTTTAAAACTGACTCTGGGCCTCCATGGGCCACTGTGCTGGGGCAGCCACACAGCGTCCTCACAGGACCTTTCTCTGAGCAGCAGAGGGAGAGAGCGGGGACACGTGGCACTCTGGTGTCGTCATGTCGGACTCGGCTCAATCAGACCAGACCCCCACGGCCTCCTTCGGCCTCCGCGCCCCGTGCCCACAGCTACGTGGAGGGGAGGCATCCACACGACTCGGGGCCCAGCTGGGCCCACGCACCACCCTGTCCTGGGAGACCCCTTGGCTGTGCACCGAGCTGGGCCTGCGTCCCCGGGCTGCAGAGCAGGGACGTGGAGACCGAGTGGCCAGGACTGCTGGCGGCCAGCTCCTGGTGAGGACCTCGCTCTCCCAGCCGAGCCGCAGAGCCAGCGATGCCCGGCTGGGCGCAGACAGCGGCGCGTGGCCGGGGCGGTTTGTTTCGGTCCCGGCTTGTGCGCCGCTCAGAACCCAGGCAGGTGGCTCTTCCCCGTGCGTTTGTTGGTTGTATCACATCACCTAAACTTTTTTCCTTTGAGAGAATTCAGCTGAAAAACTATTAAAAATAATGAGAGTTCAGTAGGGCAGCCAGTTACAAAACAAATGTACAAAAATCAATACCTTTCCTATTTCCAAGAGCAGCCACTTAGAAAAAATAGAAGCAAAAGCTTTCGTTCACAGTGGAGAGGACAGGGACATTTCTCACTGCTCTGCGAAGCGCACTCCTGGGAGAGACAGCCGGAGGGGGACAGCACCCCACTGCCCTGCCCCCAGGGGTGTTGCCCTGAGGCCAGCAGCCACCCGCTGTCGTGCCTTCGCCTCGAGGCATCTCTGGGTCACTTCCTGGTGCAAGGCCACCCCGGAAGCCTCCTCTCGGGGTCTCCTAGGGTTAACTTCAACGGCGGAGAGCGGAGGTAGGGGGACAAGTGCAGACGGATGTAGCACAGATGCTACTGACAGAGACGCGGTGGAGAGAGAGCAAGGCGTGGTACCGATGATAGAGTGGAGAAAGGCAGAGAGAGAGAGGGACGCCCGAGGCCAGAAAGGTGGGAACTCGTTTTCGTCAGGCCCCATGCTCTCTGTGTGGCCCCTCCTCCCACGCGCCCTAGCTGCACCTGCAGGAGCTCAGCTGTGCCAGGACCTGTGTGGCTGTGCCTGCCTTTGGCAGGAGCTCTGCGGGCTCACCTCAAAAACCAGCACCTCACAAGGCTGGGAGAGGCACGCCGCTAGGTACACAGGAAGAGAGCAAGATCCGTCCACCCGTGGAACTCTCAGTGCTCTGTGTGGCCCCTCCTCCCACGCGCCCTAGCTGCACCTGCAGGAGCTCAGCTGTGCCAGGACCTGTGTGGCTGTGCCTGCCTTTGGCAGGAGCTCTGCGGGCTCACCTCAAAAACCAGCACCTCACAAGGCTGGGAGAGGCACGCCGCTAGGTACACAGGAAGAGAGCAAGATCCGTCCACCCGTGGAACTCTCAGTGCAGCCACTGTCCATGGGGCAGCGTGGGTCCCATGGTCTAAGGGCAGCAATGGGAGAACCATTCCGCCCCTGGCAGACCAAATGCACATGTGTGGTTTGCCCAGACCGGGCCGGGCCAGCGTGTACCGAGTCCGCTCACCAGGCAGAGGAGCGCAGGTGTTGCGGA